GTATTTTCCTGTGGCAAAGACTATGATTTATATACATCTAAAATAACAATCTTTTGGCAGCCCTGGGCAGGGAATGAAATGGATAATTCACTAACTCAATGTTATACTAGGTTTTTCTCATACTAACTTCCTGCTTATGTTTTAATGAAGTTCGGATGTTTAATAACATAGCTACTTGTTGAACAGAATCGACTGTAAGTGGTATCAACTCTCTAGATGTACTATCCCACACTTTCAAACAAGTGTCACTTTCCTTTTTATTTAACATCATATTGAAAAATTCAAGCAAGTAAAACATGTACATGTATTTTTGAGTAATTCAGGAAGGGAGATAGGCTATTCTAAAAAGATAGTCGTGCATCAGCTAGGACAGTGCAGAAGGCTTGCTCGTTTTTCGTGTTGATGTGCATCTGTAACTTCTTCCTCGGTGCAGTAGGAAATAGCTGCTGTTCAAGAACAGGCAGGCTATTAGTCACAGCTCAGCATCTTGCAGAACGCTGAAGTACTCCCACTGTTTGCAGCACCCTGTTAATTTCCATGTGTTAAGTGCTGTCTTAAGGGGAATGCTTGGCACGTCTTCCGTCTTTCCTGACCATCCAGTCCTCGGTAGGAGGTGGGTCAGGATAGAAGGGAGCCATGCAGATGCATGTGTAAGGGCAAGCGGTGGACTTGACAGTGTTAGATTTACAGTTGGACTCAGTGACCTTAAAGGTCTGTTCCAACCTTCAATGATTCCATGGGTCTACGTATGAAATTCTGGAAATAGGATTCCCAATTTTCTTTTTTAAAAGGGTGCCATATTCCAGTGCTTTAACAAAACTCCTGAGAGCAATTCTGTTTCCCTTTGTGCCAGCATCTGGTTGCTTAAAATCTATGGTAAATAGATAGTCTATGGTAAATCCATGCACTGCAAACTGATCTGGCCTCAGGCTTAACCACCTGAACCCTCTCTGAAACAAACTTCCTCAAATGTATATAAACAAAACACTACAGAAATAAAATTTTCTTAGCTGTATTTAGTTACATTATAGTTTAGTATCGGTGAATCTTTTTGTCTTCCGACATCTGTGAGTTCAACAGCTGTACAAGTTTGCTTGTGTGTAGGTCGTAATGTTGTTGATCGTCTTGGTTAAGTAAGATGAGTAATTAGAAACGAGCAAATCAGAGACCATCCCCGTTTTCAGTGACTCAACAGACTTCTTCCTGGATTAGTGTTGTGATGTGTCTCAGCCTTTACCTTCCTGACGTTGGTGTGGGTTTTTTCTAACCTTTATTGTGTTTGGACAGTAGCTCGATAGCGATATATAACTGAAAAAAAAATTCAAGTTAGTCTTATAGTTCTTTTTAGAGAAGATAGCTATACAGAAAGCTGAGTTTCTGAATGAGGAAGTTAGTTACCGTGTCACAAAACTTGTGGTGTTTGTCAGAAATAAGGTCTCCATTGTAATTGTTATTAATAGTAGATTTCTAGTCTTTTAATGAAATAAAATGTTAGCTTAGCTAAAATGTGATTATGCTTCTTACTAAGTTCAGTTTAATTCACAGAAACTACTCGTTTCAGTGCAGTTTAGAGTTCAGCTATGGTGTCTGTCCCAGAATTTATTCAGGAGAGATGTATGTGGATTATAGGGTCTGTTTCTCTGAAGTTGACTGAAAGAGTGGTAGCAAGAAGAGGAGAAAAGGAAAAGTGGGCATACAGAATAAACAGAAAGCCAAGGTGCAGGTTTAAACTTTCTCCTGTTACATGTCATCAACCTTTCTTGGACAGGGAAGAGTAATGTTCTTAGAGTTTAGTAGTGCTAATCTTCAGTCTAAACGGGGCAGGGGGGAGGCGGTGGGCAGCGTATCTTGAAAGGACAGTATTTTTGTTGCTATTGCACCTGCTCTTTCAGCTCACTTAGTTTGAAGAGTAATGCTCAGGGAATCTGAGTGGACTAAGCTACACATAAATAGTTTAATTGCAAAACTAGCTTTTGTGTCTGAAGGATCATTATGGGATGATTTAGCATGACAGAATACTAAAGTGATTCTTAAACTATAAAATATGCAAAGTACTTACATACGGAGTATTAAACTAACATTTTGAGAAATGAAGCTGATTTCGTACAGTGGTTTTACGTTTCTGGATGGGGTTTACAATATCCTAGTGGTGTGGGTCTGCTGGAGTTCGATGTTGGCTTTTGTTTGCCTTCTGCAGATGAAGTGACCACCAGGAGAGATTGTTATATATTGTTTTGTTTTCTGAGTAGGTGTCACAGTAATCTGTGGATTGAAACAGGAAATGTTTTAAATTCATGTGTAACTAGATTGCATAAGCCAGGAAATCATGTGTCGTATGTTACTTTGAGACAAATTTATTCTAATTTTTAGTTTCATTATAATATGGGAAAATGATTAATTGAACTCTGGTAGCAAATATATAATACTAACAACACATCTGCAGTTATAACTGGAAGGTAGGGGGCAAATATGTGAATACACAAAAACGCGTGCGTGTGTGTATGCGTAAAAGCTGTCTATATGTGTATATATATCAACAACACAAACCCCTCTGCTTGAATATGGTGTCCCTACAAGCTGCCTTGAAACTCCACTTGTAGGGTTTCCACATAAGAACGCAGTGCCCTGTGGGATACCTGACTGCTTCAGTTCTGCTGTTCGGACGCTGTGACCATCCAGCCCCTGTTCCACAGCGCAGGCATGGAGTTCCACAGGCGGCTGGAGTGCTCAGCAGTTGTGCTGCCAGTGGTGCTGCTTGCAGTTTTGTAGATGTCTTCACATGGGAATGCATTGTGCAGTGCAGATGTGTCCTTCG